GCGGGGCCGCCGCCGATCCAGGGCGCCCTGGCGGGCGCGCGCGGCCGCGGCAGCCGGCAGACGCAGGCCCAGCAGCCGTGACCTTGCGCGGCCGCGACCTGGCGCCAGGGCCCGCCTCTGCGCGGCCCGCGTCATCCGCGGCGCGAGGCGAGTTGCTTCCGCGCCGCCGGAGGAACTGCGATTCCGCGAGGTCATCGCGACGGCCGCTTGCGAGGCCCAAGAGCGAGAGGCGTCGCCGTGCGCCCCAAGAGCGGAGAGCGCCGCTGCTCAGCCGCGCGCTTGTATATTTCGAGGGCATCTGGGCTTTCGCGAAAGACGCGCCAGCCAAACGGCGACGATCGGAAGGAATTTTACATCGGGCTGGTAGCCTCAGGACACCATGGGGGGATCCGGTTGTGCAGATTGCGGGCTTGGATTGGCGCCGAAATCGAAGCAATCATGCACGGTCAAGGCGGGGTCTGTTTTCCGATGCTTTCGTAGCAGATGCTTGCGCCTACTGGCATTCGCCGCTCTGCGACGGGCCAGGCGACGTTGAGCCTGTTCTAAAACACCCCTGGGCGGGCCGGGAGACGGAGGAGAAGCTCGTGTTCCGGGGGGGGGCCGGGGACATATGAATTAGTCGCTTCAATCGGCGCGCGCATTGCATGGGCCATTCTGCAGAAGCATTTCTTGCGCGTAGCGGACTCGCAATCATTGCAGCAAATTGTGGCACCGATGCGCAGCGCGACCTAACGTGCGAACTTCTCGCGTCCCGAGTGCTGTGGGCAATGGTTGGGGACCGCCGCGAATTCACCCGGACACGGTGCGATGGTGGAGATGATGCCATTGCCGGGCGGCCTGGCGAACTGCGCAATGGGCGCTTGGAAAACATGGCAGAAGACTTTCACCGCCGCGATGTCTATCCAGAGCGCCGACGTGGTAATCCAAACAGATGGTGGACTTCGCGATGGAGATTGCGCAGCTGCTGCGTGGTTTGTCGGACTTTGGGGCCAGATCGACGGGCGTTGCAGTTTTGGGCCGTTGATGGTGCGCGGTATTTTCCTGGAGTTACCGTGCGCGGTCTTCCGTGCTGAAGCCATTGCCCTGGGCGTGGCCTCTAGAGCAGCCCGAGACATTCTCGCCCAGTAGACATACGAAAAGCTAAACATGTACGTTTCCTGAGATTGAGCGAGAGAAAAGAAGGGCGGATAAGGGGCGAGAAGGCAAAGGGCTCTCCTAGCAGCCAACCCTACCCGAGGCCGTCCAGGGCCAGGCGCTCGCCGGGGGCCTAGCCGGGCCGGGGGTGTGCAGATGCAGCTGGAGGTGCTCTGCATCTTCGCAAGGCAAAAGCGTCGGGCGGACGTCGCAGCCTTCGCGCGCCGCGGCCGCCCACGGCAGCCCGAGGACCTCGGCGCCGTCTACGCGGGCGACATTCGCGGGCTTCGCCCCGCCAGTGCGTGGCAGCTGCCATCGCGGTCTTCGCGGGCTGGCCCCCGACGCGGCCAGACCTGATCGAGGTGTTCTCGGAGCTTGACGGCGGCGCCCTCGGGTGCCGCTGCGATTTGCGTTCCGACTTCCACGCGGGTGCCATGATCGCAGCGTGGCGAGCAGAAGTGGTGCGTGCGCCATCCAGGCCCCCGTGCCACTTCGGTGGCAATGAGGCGCTGCGCAGCTGCGAGTGCATCGAGGGCCCGATCATCGGGCCTCCGCCTCCGCGATGGCGCGGGCCTCCATTCCCCTGGCCGCTGGGGCCCGGACCTTGGGAAGTGCCCAGACTGGCCAGATTTCAGGGCCGAGCGCTTCGGGGAGATCGCGCGGTTCATGGGCGGCCGGGCGGCCGCGATGCGCGCGCCGCGCGAGTTGGCGGGTCAGGTGCGCCCGGCCGGGGCCGGCCCCGGCGGGTTATCCGACTTCGAGAAGAGGAAGAATATGCGTAATATAGAATAAGAAGAAGAATAGTAATAATAAGAAGAATAATACTACTAAGAAGAATAAGAAGAATAATGCTGATCAGAAGAAGGTCGAGGCGGCAGCCAGACGGGTCCTCGAAGGCTGGCTTGGGGCCGGATGCTGAGAAGGCCGCGGCGACGATGTGGGCTGCGTCGCAGCGGGGCAGGCTATCCGCCTCCTGGCGGCGCTCCTTCGAAGCAGGGGGCCCGGGAGCAGATTTGACGGGTCGCGGCCGAGGAGCTCGCGAAGTGGCGCCTCGACCAAGAGGCGGCCAGTTGGGCCGCCCCAGAATCGGCCAGCTACAGCAGCGCAAAGAACGGCGGCGACTGGCTCTGGGAACACCTTGCGGACTAGGTGTCGTCGGGCATGGTGGTCGAGATGTCCGCGGAGCAGTTGCGCCGCTGTTTCCAGGGCAACAGCGCCATGGCGGCGTTGGCAGTCTTGGGGGGCGCGAGCGGCCATGATCGATCATTGCGCGACTGCGCGCCCGATGTCGCCGTGGGCGGTCGGCGACGACGCAGGAGCCGCCAGGGGGCGCCGAGGCCCGCCGAGAAGGATTTTGTTTTGAGTTACGACGGGGGCCGGCACGAAGCCATCTTCTTTCTCGTCGCCGACGTCGAGGGCACGCGCCGGCTAATCAGGGTCCGCGAGGGCGAGCGGGCCGTGCTGGCCCGCGAAGTCGAGGGCGGGACCTACTGCAACGCCGTCGGCACTTTCGGCATCTCCAGCGTCTCGGAGTGATCGGCCAGGCTGTTCGGCGTCGCGCGGCGGGCGGTCTCCTGCTCGCTGGGCCGCGTCAAGCCCGTGGGGCTGCTCGCCCGAGCCGACGACCTGGAAGCGGTCGGGGAAAGGGCGTCGCGGGAGATTGGCCGCTCTCTTCCTGGTCACCCCCCCCGGCGCCCTCGGCTTCCCAGTGCGCTGAAGGCCGAGGCGCGGGGCGGCCTCGAGGTGGATTCGATTGGCCTCCGCTTCGGCAGCGCCCCCCCTGCCGTGGGCCTCTCGAGGGCGAGGGCGGCGCCAGCGGCGGCCTGGTGCCTGGGGGCGGTCGGGCGCGGCGCCCTCCGCGCGAGCGAGATGGCGCCGGGCCTGGGGCGTCTGTCTGGGCCTCGCAGGGATGGCCCTCCTCGTCGGGGAGAAGCTGCCCCCGGGGCCCGCGCGCGCCGGGGTCGCCAGCGTCGAGGGGGCAGGCGAGAAGAGGGTGCGCTAAGGCAGACGACCCAATCGGGGCCATCGCGGCGCTGGAGCTCCTTGGCGCGATTCCTTGCGCGAAGTGTTCCCGTGGCCCGGAAAGCTCAGCCGGAGGGCGGGCCGCAGGGTGGCAGGGTCGATGGACGTCCTGGGGAACGCTTGCGCCGCCTGCGCGGCGTCCAGGGCCGCGTCGACCAAGTGGCTGTTGACGGCCCTCGAGCTCACGGAGGATCTGATGTCGCGCGAGATTGCGCCGAGCCTTGGTTGGCCCCCGCGCGAGGAGAACAGGGGGGCGGGCGACCTCGGTAACGTGGGGGCGACAGTCTTTGACGACTCTTTCAGGATCCGCGTGGCGTCGGCGGACCTGAAGTGGCGCGTGCTCGACGAGATGGCGGAGGTCTCCCTGGAGCTCTTCGGCGCGATCGTCGAGGAGAGGGCGGCAGCCGCGGGTGGGGCGTCTGCCTCGGAAGGCGGCCGCGGGCGCCGCGGGCGGCGTGTGCGCCAGGAGCCGCTGTGGCGGCCCCGCTCGAGTGCGTCTCGGACGGTGCCGTTCGGGCGGGGGCTGGGTCGCTGCGAGCGTCAGCAGCGGCGGGGCCCCGCGCGACTTTTCGGGGCGGGGGGCCTGCCGGCGGGGACCTGGGGGGGCGTGCCTCCGAGATCGTCTTGAATTCCCGCCCTCCGGTGGGCGCCCCCGCGGCGGGGGCCCCCCTCCTGCCCGATGGCCCCCGTCCTTCCGCCGCGGGCGGGGGGCGGGGCCCCAAGGCGGGAGGGGTACCCCTTCCGCGGAGGCCCTAATGGAGGACCGCGCCCTCGCTGCCGTCGCGCGCGTGCGAGGCGCGGCGCGGGCGGAGGCGGTGGTGCCCGTGGAAACAGGGAGGCAAGGAAAGAGGTGAGATGGGCCTTGCCCCTTTCGGCTTAGGCGGCCCCCAGTTGCCCTGGCCGCTTGCTCGGGGCGGGCGGCCGCCCCCGCGGGGATCCGGCAAAGGGTGGACCGCCTAGGGGCCCAGGATCCGCCGCCTCACATCCGGGTCTCCTCTCCCTCTTGGCGTCTCACTCCCATCGCGTGAAAGGGAATCCAGTTCTTGGCCCCCTTGGACCGTCGCCAGTAAAAGGGGCATCGCCGTCACCTCCTTCCTCCTTGTACCGCCATCGCACCGCTAATTATTAGGGTTGATCGAGGATGCGCCCCCGTGTGCCGACACGTACGTGCATCTTCCTCAACAGCCCGACGTCTGTTTCCATTTGGGTTCAGGCGTTCGGCCGAATGTGAACGAACCGACCCACCTCCCTGGGTCATCAAGTTCCTCGGAGTGGCAAGGACCCTGAACCAGGCCCCCGGAAATGCCACTAGTTAAAATGACATCACCGTCACTTCCGTCCCCCTATGTACCGCCACATCATTGCTTTTAGGGTTCACCACCGAAGATACATAAATATACAGTTCCGGAGGTCCGTGCGTATTTTTCGGTTCGGCGCTGGACACCCATGGCGGCGCTTGGCGCGTTCCGCGCGCGCGGGGGAGTCCAACGCCGATCCAAGAATCCGCGCGGACCGCTGACTTGTTATATTTACGTCGTCATTTGTTCCCCGAAATCGGTCCTGGCCCAAGTGTTCCCAGCTTCCCGCGCACTTCTTAAGCTCCTGGGCCACCTGGGTCCTGTCAGGGGCTCCCTGGATGCCATCCGGGCCTCCCCAGGAACCCGGGGGTCATGTCGGGTCGGGCGTTGCGCGATGAGGGGCGAAGCTTGGGGGGATGAAGCAAGGTGCCGTGAATTGGCCCCGAACCACATACCCGCTCGTAGGGCGTAGCGTGTCGCCGGGACCGCCGCCTCGCCAGGACTGCCGCCGCGACTCGCTGAGCAAACGTTCCCGACCGTATCGCCTCCCGCATGAATCAGGAGCGAGCGTTCGTAACACAAGGCTGGCCTCGCGGGCTGGGGGGCCGTCGTGTACGTGGATGGGCGCGTTCGTCCCGCCGTGGGTGATTCCCTCATGAAGCAGCGCCTGGGTGGGCCAGGGACACCTTTGGCAACACCCCACGAGGGCTGGGTACCCCTCCTGCCCCGCTTCGCCTCGCGCGCGCGGGCGCTGCCCAGTGCGGGCGGCGCCCTCTGCGTCGACCTGCTGCTGGCGGCCGGGGCGTGCCCAGGCAGGAGCGTGCGGTTGGTGGCGGAGGTCCGCCCTGCTCACGACGCAGAGCTCTAATGTATTGAGACATCAATGACGGAGATTTTTTTACCCTTGTCGGCCTCTAGAGGTTCTCGCCGGGCCCTGAGACCGTCAAAAAACGACTCAGGATGAGAAGCCGGCCCCCGGAAACGGATCTACACTCCCACGGATCCCGCATTGAAAATATCAAGACATCGGATCTCTGGGTAGGGGTGCCCCTTCGCCCCCTGCCGGAGTCTGCCTTTGGTGCGCGGCTTTCTGTTCGCGGGGGCTCCTGGATCCATGTTTGATGGTCCTGGGGATTGTTTTCCAATCCGTTGGCGCGGAGCGGTCGTTACTCCCCTGGGCTGTACCCCGCCCACATGCTGGTGCCCGCGCGCAGGCTCGCGATCGCAGCGCACCACCGCCCCGACGTGCCCCCACCCCAAGCGTTGCCGTTACCGGGCCCCCCTGCCGCCCCCCCCCCCGTCCCCACCTGGCAACGACCGCTACCGGCAATGATATTAGACCAGTCTCCTGGGGCCCGGGGACGGCCCCATCATGTAGGGCCGAAGCCGAGGAACACCGCCGGTTTCGTAAAAGTCGTGTCGTCGGAGGCCTGGGCCCCTGGCCGCTGCTGGACGTAGAGGCCTCGCTGCTCCGCGGAGCACGCGCGGCGCGGCTTCCTGGTTCCGCCGGCCAGACCCGGGGCACGCGGGCCTGTGCTGCCGCATCGCGTGCAGCGCTCGGCAAGTCGCGCACCCAAGGTCACTCCTGCCCGGCCGCTCGCTCCTGCTTGTGGCCGCGAGGTCCCGCCCGCCTACAGGTGGGAGTCACGCACGCGCTCCGCCGCCGACGGCCAGAGCAGCCTCGCGCTCTCGGGGTGCACGGCGCAGATGTCAGCGAGCCAGGTCGCGTCCCTGAGCGAGGTGACGTTCCAGGTGGTTCACGACGACCTCGCCGACAGGCTGGGGAGCAACCAGACCGAGCGCGCGAACTTCCAGCAGGGGCTCGATAGTCTGGCCCCGCAGGGCCAGAACCTGACGGCCGAGGGCATCGACAGGGAGCTCGCCGCGCGAGCAGCGGTGGACCTGATGGCCGACCTAGTCCGAATGCTGAGCCCAGTGTTGCAGTCCGAGTCGGTGGACGTCAGGGACGTGCTGCTCGCGGAAATCCCAGGCCCCACGGGCGATTCCAGATCTACCTGGACGTTCGGCAGCCTCGTGGCAGGGATCCAGTACCGCCCACTCGATGGCGCCCCAGAAGAGGGCGCCGCGTCCGCGAGGCGACCTGGCGGCCCCAGCGTGCCCGCCATCGCGGTGCTGGCAGAGGCCGCCGCCAGCTCTGGCGACGGGCTCGCAGAGGAGGAGGACTGGGGCGACGGCGGCCCAGACGGTGAGGGTAGGAGGCTGTTCATCAACCTGTCGATGCTCTACGGCATGGAGATCGGCATGAAGTCCAACGGCATACTGATTGGGAAGGCGTGGATCTTTAACGCCATGGACGTCATGAAGGGCCTGCTTCTGGGAGTCGCCCTCGCGAGCGCCCGGGGCGCGGATTGGTTGTGGGACACGACGATGGAATGGGTGCAGGAGCATATTCCAGGCGACAACTGGCACGTGCGATCCGTGGGGGCAATGTTCCAGGGGCTGTCCATCCAGGACATGACGGACATCACAGAGATGCTGGATCTCGACGTCTGTGGACTCATAAACAGCGTCTTGCTTTTCTACGAGCTGGACCCGCACCCTTGCTGGCACTTCTGGGCTGCTGGCATTATCCTACTGGTGTTGGCGCTTTATATTTATTCAAGAGGCTTACGCCATGCCGCTGACCCCCAGACGAAGTGAGGAGCAGGTGGACATCGATGGTTGTGCGGGACGCCTTGGGGCCCTCTTGGAGGCGTCTTGGGGGCGCCTCGGAGGCTTCTGGGGGGCTCTTTGGCCCATCTCGGGAGGAAGGGCGTGGGACGTCAGTTCGTATTCTCCCTCTTGGGCCCCTCGTAAAGTTCCCTTGGGGCTCTCGTGGGCCCTCTTGAGGGCCTCTGGGGCCGCTTTGGGGTCCGCTTGGGGTCCTCTTGGGCCGTCTTGGAGCTCGCTTGGGGCCTCATGGGCCGGCTTGGGATGATCATGGAGGCCCCTTGGGCGGTCTTGGACGCCGTGAGGACGGAAAAGGCGAGTATGCTAAAACTATACACGTTTTCCCTGGAGAACGGGACGATTGTTGCCTTTGGGGCTCTGCTCTCTGGTAGCGCTTTTGGGCTGTCGTGGGGGCCACGTGGGCCGTCTCGAAGCCATCTGGGACCTTCGTGGAGCTACCCTGGGCCATCGCGTCGCTTATGTGGACTGTCTTGGCATTTTACTCTGACCCTCTTTGGCCGTCTTGGCGTTCCGGAGAGGTTCTGGAGGCACCAGGGATGCGTTTAGGAGCTCGATCCCCCTCCCCCGGGCCCCCCCCCCCGCCCCCCCCCTCTTCCAATCGGATTTCAGACCCCAGAGGAGGGGGTTGGTGGGAGGGGGACGGCGAGTCATCCCACACGCCTTTGCACCCCCGACAAGTGGGGGTCGGCTGATTATTTGTCTCTGAAGTACTGCAGCATCTGCGCCTGTTGCGTGTCTTGCTGTAAGGGGTGCTTCAGGTGCCTCAACAGGATCCTTCCTTGCTTCCGCCCTTGCTGGTCCAAGGGGTACAACGATCTTCCGCAAGGGGCATTCGAGGATCACGATAGCACCTTCGAGGGGCGGCCGCTCATGACTCGCGACCCCGAGGCTCAGGGCATGGAGGCTGACTGCCGTCAAGTCGCCGGTGTCAAGTAGCCCAGGTCGCCGTGTGTCTGTCACGCAGGTGAGCCGGTCTGCCATCTCGAGGAGGCCGCATCAGGCATGCAGGCGCCCCTGCCAAAGTAGCGCGAGTGCGCCTCAGCTGACAGACCCTTCCAACAGGGAAGGGGCGGCTGTGACCAGCGATTTCTAGTAGTTAGGATTGTTGTGCTCATCTCGCAGCGGCGGCCCTGCATTCTCATCCCCAGCTCGTTTCCTTCTTCGCACCACCTTCCTCCTTCCTCCTTCCTCCGTCCTCCCATGTCCCTCGGCCCCGGTCCCTCCTCCTCCCTCCCCTTGCTTCTCTCCTCCCTCCTCCCTCTCTCCCTCTCTCCCTTCGTAGCTTCGTAGCTTTAGCGGGCCGACAGGATTCCAACTTGTCCAGCGCTGCATGCTCCCTGCTGCCACACGTGTTTTGTTCTCACCACACACCGTGTGACCTACACGTTTCTCCAGGGGTTCCGCGAGATCAGCCATGTGCCTGCGGCCCTGCGGAAATTCGGCCGCGCCAGACGCCTTTCCTGTCGATCGTCCCACTCGTATGCGATCATACACGCTCAGTTCACACTCTCTGGGCTGAATGGTTCAAGGTGTTGCACATCCATCCACCAACAACGAGCTTGTCAACTGGGATGCTCAGCTATGTCGTGCACTTCGGCTCCACCAGCATCGTGAAGTCAATGACTGGCCCGCTCATCCTCACATGTTGCAAGATTCGGTGCAACATGCAGTTCATGGAGATCGGTTTTCACCCAGCACCCTGCAGCTCATGTGTCAAACTTGCCACGACACCAACTCGGCATGCCATCAACGACGGCAAGGGACTCCCACCCACGCTGCCAAAGCGGTCCATTCACAACGCGCTTCCACGGCACTGCCAAGTCCACACGCCACATCCTGGATACCCCCAGCCGCCCAAACACCCCCAGCTCCCCAGCGCCAGAACAGCCGCCTTGTCGTCGATCGTCGACGACGACGACGACGCGAGGTGCACTACTTCTGCAGCCCCTTGTGCTGCACCCATCAGGGCATCCCGTAGCCTGCACCTCTAGCCGTTAAATCGGCATGGACCCTTTTCCTTTTTCCTATTTCCGGCAGCCGAGGTTAGCTGCACAGACTCGTGCCACCCGCGTGCTGACAGGGCCTGTTCCGCAACGCCGTGCACTTCTTCCTCTCCCTCTTCCTCTCCCTGTCCCGCTCCATGTCCCTCTTCCTCCCCCTCTCGCTCTCCCTTCTCTCCTCGCCTCTCCTTCTTCCTCTCTTCCCCCTCCCCTCCCCTCCCGTCCCCCTCCCCCTTCCCTTCACTTTCTTTTGTTGCCCCTCGTCCACTTTTTTTTGTTCGTGCTTGTGTGTGTGTGTGTGTGTGTGTGTGTGTGTCTGTGTGCGTCTCGCATGGGCGACCCTCCGTCCCGAGCGTGCGCCAGACCACTTCGCCGACGCTTTTCGACAGCCAGGCCACCATACGACTCTGATTGCCGCTGTCGTGCATCAACTTGCCTACCTGTGTTCTGTTACGCTGGCTCTCCGCCTCCCGGTCCGCCGCCCTCGTCTGCGCAGCTGTTTGGGAGGGCCTCTACCCCGACAGCTGTGTCGGCCACGATGAAGGGGAGGACCGTGGGGACTCCGCAACACCCGCCAGCCTCGGTGACGACGTTGGAGAGCTCGCCAGTGCCTCTCGTGTTCGGTGCTCCCCCGCCCTGCTTCTTCCCCTTCGCAGCTGCGCGCATACATGCCGCAGCCGCGAAGATACTCGCGGCGGCGACCATCCTCGGGCCTCTCGTCTCGGCCAGGCCCCTTTCTGGCTCTTCGATCTGGCGCGCCCGCCTCCAGCTGGCTGGTCCCCTGGCCCAGATGGGTTCCCCCCCCCGCGCCTCGCCAGGACGGTCAAGGCAACTGCCGAAGGGCAGGTCTCCTTCTGCGCGCACTGTCGCAGCCGCGCCGCGCTTCTCGTTGCTCGACGGGAGCTCGCCCCTGGCGCCGAGGTCTCCGTTCCACGGAGCCTCACTTTGGACCCTGGCGCCGGCCTGTTTCCTCTCGAGCTGACCTTCGACGGCGGAGCCAGGGAAGTTTTGAACTTCGCCGAGGTCGCTGTCGCCGGTTCCATGCTCTGGCACCATCTGGACCCCGCCCGTCCTTCTTGCCGCCAGAGCCATGGCCCTGCCCAGCTGCCACGATTCGCAGGTTGCGGAAGTTTCCTCTCGCAGGTGGGAGCTCGAGGTGCTTCTGGCCCTCGACCCGCCCAACCGCTCCGCAGGCCCCGATGGAAGAGGCCTTTCGCTCTGTCGCGGACGCGGGCTGGGCCCTCCACAGGCAAGCCCTTATGGTAATATTCAGCATAAAGGCAGTGGCCGCCTGGCCACCCTGGGTGTCTTCTGGGCCGCGGCCCGTCGCTCCGCAGGGGAGCTAGCCGAAACGAGGCACCTCCACTGGCTCACTCGCTCTTCCCCTCCTCCTGGCCCGCGCTTCTTCCCCCTAGTTACCCGGCGCTGGTCTTCATTCTGATCGGATCGATGGGAGTGCCTTCTGCCCTCGAGGATGCCGCGCGGCTCCAGCGGGAGTGGCGGCTCGGTGGGTGATTTGCGCCAAGGTGCGCACGCTTGCGCTGAGGGTCGCCCTCGCGTGCTGCTCGTGCTCCCTGGCTGTTATCCTTCGTCGCTGTCCTCGTTTCACCCATCCGCACCGCTCCTCTCCCTGGGCTCGACCCTCCGCAGGATGCTCTGGACATCTCTGGACCTCCTGACTGCGCCCTGGGCTCGTTACGTGTGCTTTCACGAAGCGAAGCATTAGCGCTTCTACTGGACCTGGTACTGCGAGGCTTGTGGTAGGCAGTGGGGTTGGGATCACCACACCAGCGAGGCCCACCTCAAGAAATGACGTTCCCCGCTGCCTTCCCTCACCGAGGAACGCTACCTTGGTGGTGGGTGGGACGAGTCCTCCCCCTTGCGCTGGTCTCCAGCGCAACGCTCGTCCACAAAACGAGGTCTACGAGCCCGTCCCGCACGCTTGGGACGTGCCCTACGGCTACCCGCCCGTCGAGGCGGACCCCGACTGGCAGCCTCTTGAGGGCTTCGTCGTCGATATACGCTTCCGCATCCCCCCCCCTCACGACGCCCGCCTCACCCTGGTGCTCGAGCGCCGCCCCCGGCCGGACCCTCCTGCTTTTTCCGCCGGGGTCGCCGGCCTGGCCCTCGGCCCGCCTCCCTGCTCCAGCAGCGTCGCCCCGCATCCCTCCCCTGGGGTCGCCCCGGGGAGCTCTGGGCCCCCCCCCGCCTCCGCCTGACGCTCCTGCGCCTCCCAGGCCGCCAACGACGGCCCTCCTACCAATTCGTTCAGACAGCCTGCCCTCGATGCGCGCCGATGGCTCCGCGGCCTGTCCGCCCGTGATCGCCGCTCTGGCGCGATACGCGTCGTGGGCCGCGTCTCGTCCTCCCTCCAGCTTCCACGGTGTTTGGGACGCGACCTCCGCGCATTCGGTGAGGGCTTGTTGCGTGATTGGCGAACTGATCATGCGGCGGCCGCGGAGCCTGCCGCAGATTCCCCTGACCACCGTGCCGCCCTCTCTACGCGGGCCCACGTCGCCGTCCACGTGCAGCTCAAGCAGCGGACCTCTGGCGACCTCAGATGGTTGGCCAGTCACCCTGAGGTCTCCGCTCTCCTCGATCTCGCTGACCAGCAGTGGACGCTTTGGGATCGGTCTTGGCCCGCCTGCCAGCTTGACCTGAAGCAGCGGCGCTCCAGGGGTGGCCCCGCAACCCACACGCGCATTTCGCTGTCTCTGGCGCTCCCCTCGCTAGACGCGTCCCACAGCTACCTGCAGGTGGAGTGGCCCAGGCCGCCCAGGCCAGACGACCCTCCCATCGGTGGCCCCCCAGATTCTTTCCTCGCTTGGTGGGATTTGCGCAAAGGCCCCTTCTGTGACGAAGACTCGCTCGGCACCCTCCCCCAGCAAGGCTTGCGTCTCGTCGTCATCCAAGGGGATGGAATCGGGTCCGCGCTGTTCTACGGTCTCGACCACGTGCCCATCGACCGCCGGGGATCTGTGGTCCCGCCTGAGGCCGTCGCCATCGCGGTCGTGCCGCCGCGGGCCGCGGGCGTCCGCCAGCTCTGAACCCACCTGCGTCTGCACTGCGCTACGAAGGCCCCCGCTCCCCCGAAGCGGGCGCCGAGGCAGGCTCCGAGGTTGACTGCGACCCCGACAAGCGGAGACAGCCTGCCAGGTCTCCCGACGACAGCCCCATCGATCCCGCTTCTGGCACGCGCGAAGTGGCCGGCCCCGTCCCTGGGCGCGGTCTGGCGGTCTCCTCGCGACTGCCGCTCGCCCGCTGCCGCCGTCATCGCCCCGCCCCGCGCCCCGCCGCCCCCTGGGCTCGTCGAGCGTGTCCGCGCCACTTGCCGCCTCGACGCGCGCCAGGTCCGCGCTCCCCACTCTGCTTTTCTGTTTCGGCCTCTCCGCGTGCGGGCCCCCCCTGGGGACCGGCAGGTCAGGCGCCGCCCGTGCTCCGGCCCTCCGCGCCCACTCTTGCCCCTGCGCCTCCGCCGTCATGGCGCCCGCGCAGGGCAGCGGGATTTGCTACGGGGCGGCGGCTCACTTCGCCGAGGGCCCCGTAGGGGGCCCGTTTGGGCTCGGTCGGGGCGCCGCGCGCCGCACCTCGGACGACGTTAAAACCGTGAGTTCCGTCAAGTCCCCACTCCCGCCGGCAGATGGGCAGCCTTCGGCCGAACCCGCCGGTCACCAAAGGCGAGCGCGAAGCATTCCTGGATTTCTTTCACATGTTCGGCGACTTCGCTCTCGTCAGCGCCAGGCTTGAGAAGGCAGCTGCCTTGCGCTACTACGGGAGACAGAGGGCGTGGTCGGGCGCCGCGCCCAGCTTCCGCCCAGCCCTCGCTCCGAGGCCGCCATCGCGTTCGGAAACGAGATCTCCCACCATGAGAAGTTCGCCAACCTGGTGCGGTGCGACCCCGAG